CTGCGGAGATATTCAGACATCAGGCGGAAAGAGGCGGATTTCCCGGCAGGGGTTGTAGAGATCGTAGGGGAAAATGATTCAACTGAATTGTGGGTTGTTGCTAAAAAGTCTTATGCTTTTATTTTCCCTGCCTGCCCCCGCTCTGTCCCCAGGCTTGCAGTCAGTGTAAGCATCTGACCTGGCTGGATACTAAACCTACCTTTTTTTTTTCCCTAAAGTTTGGCGGGTTTTTTTAAGCTTTTCCAGTTCTCCGACTATGTAAACACTACTGCCAGCGCCGGGAGTTCAAAATGCCTAGAGAGTAAGGCCATCTATTTTTACAGCAGCTTTCTGTTAATTTGTCTCCAAAGGATTAATTTGTTAGTAAGCATATGAACATAAACATATTAAAAATACTAAACAGGGAACAAGCGCCTGGAGACCTAATCTCGCTGTGATCTCGGGTGTGTAAGGTGTCAAATAACAGAAGATTATTCTATCTGAAACTATAATCTGAGTATGGAGAGAAGAGGGCTGGGAAAGGAGTGCGATCAAATACGTTTTATTGCACCTTATTTTTGTATTCTCCCCTTTATGACCTAAGTTTATAATAATTTTTTTTTCTGCTAGAACAGATTACTTAAATACTAGTGAAGATGAGCAGCCACGTAAATACAAATATGGGAATAATGTATACACCTGTTCATATATGAAATTCAGGCTAGTATAATTAAGCATGCGATTAAGAAACCAGAGTTTATCCTATAACAGCTTGATGGTCGAGGAGTTCCTATGGAAGCTGGTTTTGTTACTTAGGTCTCAGATTATCAACATGATGTCAAGAATTTTCAAAAATCTTGTTTTCAGGTTGTTTTAGTGACTAGAACGCAATTCTTGAATTTTGTTGCTGATTTCTTTAATAAATATTTCAGAAAAGGTGGGAGTTGGAGGTTTTTTGCTTGAGGCACAACCTGTAGAATTCAGAAGCAGTGCCTGTTCGGTTCAGCTAATTGATTAGAGAAGGGACATTGTTAATCACTAGCTGTGCCTTTGCTATGCCCATCTGCTATTGTAAGCAGACAGAATTTTTCGAACTGGCTCAAGTATTTTGCCTTTTGAGCAGACACAGCAAAGGAAATGCGTAATCTGCGATATACACCCCTCAGATTTATGTGAGTCCTTGTTCTGCACCTAATGCTACCTTAACAAATCCCTTTTGCTCCCAGCTGGTTATGATTCTGCACTTCTGAATCTTGTTGATAACTTTTCTGCCCCAAACTGACCTACTTGTTTGTCGGTTTCATGGATTTCTGTCTTGTCCTTCACTTTGAGATCTCTTTGAAGGAAGGATTGTTGTTTTCTGTATGCTTGTGGATCACCAGCAACAATCTGTTTTGTGTGAGCTTTACTTCAATCTAATTGTTAAGTAATAATTCTATTATTGCTCTAACATCTGTCTGTTGTGCATAGGTCTTTAGTGTCTACAGGGGGAACAAGCAACAAATCTAAATACTTTGTTCTTTTTAATAGCCTCGGGGATAAAGTTAGGTGTCAAACCACAACCACAGAGTGATTTATGCCTCCCTACTTTAGACTGGAGTGAATTAGCATTTAATCAGGTTGTTCTTTTACTTGTCATCCCTAGCATAAAGTGATATACGCAAGAAACACTCCACAGGGTGATAATAACCCAGATTGGGTCTGTAATATTGATTTTATACATGTAGTGAAGCTTTGCATGCCACAAGAACATAATATGCACTTTTGCTGCCAAATTTTCCCCTTGGGCCAGATTTGGACTCTCTGCACTGGTCACAAGAGGAGCTTTGAAAGTGCGTTGTCTGTAGTAATGAGCTGTCCTGGGATAAACTGCAATTCTGACATAAGGCTTCCTCCACTACAGTAATCCCATTGTGGAGTTGTCCCAAAAGTATATTGCTGGATGCCTGGTTACGTGCACGTTTTTTGCTGCTAGAGAAGATTCTACTTTTTCATTTTTTAAGGTATAACTTAGTACGCAAATATGAGAGTTTACCGATGCAAAACATGAAGCAGACATAAGGAAATGACTCATGTTTAGTTAGTACTCTTGGGGAAAAAGACATTTTTAAAAACTTGGTAGTGGAGATTATTCTGTCATTGTGATATTACTCTGAGATAGAACTTCATGTATACCTTTATACATGCAAGACGGGTTTTGATTTGTATTGATTCCTTCGTTAGCTTAAATACTAAAAGTCAGTTATTAGAACCAGAAGTTCAGATCGTTGCTGTCTATGACATGTTATACTGTGTGGGAGATGCAGGAGTAGAATAATCATCTCATTCCTGAATGATATAGTCAGCTGAGAACTCTTTGTTATATGTGGAATGGTAGGATTCCCTTCCTGCTCCTTTGTGCCTCATTTTCAGTGTGTTTACATTGGGATTCATTTGCCAATGTTTGTCTGCACTGAATTTCATATGCCATTACTGTTATCTAAAGTGAACTTTACGTGATGTCTGAAGGCTTTATTTTTTCATGCTTGGTTATAAGTATTTTTTTTTTCATGTAATTGTATTTTCTTAGACCCGAACAAGACCATAAGTTATTAAATACAGAAGGCTGAACTTCCTTTTTTTGCTATTCCACATAAAGCGTTGAAGTATTTTTGCTGATATGTTGACAAGGAAGAACAGCAGCATTCTTAAGGCGGTTATATGTCAATATTCATTTGCTGATAATTAGAGAAATGTATACTTGGTATATTGCTTGAGTATAACGTCTCTTAGCTGTTTATATAAAAAACTAAGACCCAGTGTGTTATTTTAAATATATTACAGATGGGCTGGAAAATGTACAGCAAAAGAAAATCTTTAAAGAGAATAAGGAAAGGACACAACAGAGAAAAGAGCCATGTCCTGCTGATTCGGTAGAATCTCTGATGGCAGAAATGCCGTTTGTCGACACAGATATTGAAGATGAATTTGTTAGTAAGTATATTAAACAGAAGTAGTGTGGAAGCATAGACACATCACACACTCAGTTCTTGGTCCTGCCTGTTGGCATGTACAAGTGGGCTGTGCACGTGGAACAGAGTCTCCCTGTGAACAGGATCCAGTCCAGAGCCTCTTATTGGTACGCAGTCCTGCAAATACTGGAGCGTATTAAAAAATTTACCATTTTGTGATCCATTGCAGCAATGAGTCACAGAATAAAGACATCTCGTATGTCAATTCACATTACTGTATATGAGCTTCTCATGTGGTGGCTTTTATGAGCCGTCTTCCAATGTGTGTATTCCCAGCATGTGGCTATAAGTGCACCTCTAATTGGACAGTGGATGTCTGCAGCCTGGTCAGCTTATGGGTATGTATCAGGCCACATGGTGGGAGAGGATCTGCAAAGTCTTGAGGAAATAAGCTGGGGGAAAAATTATTTATGATGCAAAGGAAGAATTGAGGACATGCACTTTTCTTTCGCTATCTATGTTGGAAGGGGTCTTTGGGAAAGGAGGAGGTAGAGAGTAGATCTGGCTTGGATTAAATTTTCTTCTGGGCTGGGTTTGGTCCTTGAACTATAGGTTGGCCAGTCCTAGCCTAATACAGCCTTTAATAATCCTATGTATTATCTTGTTTTATATTTCAAAATGCAGCGTGCATGGGATTTTTGAATCTTAATATTGGTGCTTTTGCTCTAAAGTCACATCCATGTTCAAGTGAAGACAATTTGCAGGCCTATTCCACTGCAGTGTGAGTTGGCTAAATGAAACACAGCAGTTTGGAAGCTGCGTGTCTATGTTAGCAGCTTATAAGCCCTGCTTAGAGGTGCAGGCTGTTAGTTCAAGTGTGGTCCTCTACTTGTGTGACTACATTAATTCAGGTTGGAGTAGGATCCCAATCAGACAGTTCAGAGCATGGGCAGATCAGATGACTGGGAAGACATGCTCCAGTCAGTTGACTGAAGTCCAGCTCCTGTTGGCATGATATTAAGTACGTCTTTGTTTTGATTTGTCTGTATGCTGAAAGTAATTTTTTTTTTCTCTTCAGTGCATGCAACCTCTGAAATAAATATAAAAAAGAAAAGGAAGAGGACTACTGGAAGGGAAATTGAAGAAGGCAGCGAGAGAAAGAAGAAAAAGAAAAAACAGTATCAGCCGAATTATTTTGTTTCTCTTCCAATTACTAATCCAGAGGTGATATTCTTTATTATACTGATTTGGTATAATGAGAATTACTTCAATAGCTGCATGTGTTTATAAGAAGACCAGTATTTGGTCTTGAGCAAAATATTTTTTTTCAGGTATTTTTAAAGGAACATTAGCAGCCATTCAAAGAGTAACTTTATTTTATGTAACATTTTTGTGAATAAAATTGCGCATCTGGAAAAGACTAGAGGAAAAATATTTATCTTTTTATGCATTTTGTCAGTCTTATGGATTTGATGTTATTTTGACTGAAGCTGGCTTAAATTTCCCCTCTGTACTGTTCCAGTATTGCTTATTTTGTCATTCACTTAGAATAAGGAAGAGAGACATTCTTACTTAATTTAATAAAATCCCTAGCAATATTTTTAGCTCTCCTTATAGATAGGAATTTAAATTTGGATCTGTTGCTGTTTTAACAAGGCAGCTTGTAGTTTTACATTTTCCAGTAAAATTGATCATCTTATTTAAAATTCAAACAACCTATTGTTTTAGTGAAATGTTCAAATGGATTCAAGAAGTGCAGAGAGCTCTTTAAGAAGACATATTTTCTTGTAGTTAGCATGTGTTGTCTCGTTTAGACAGTGAATGAGAATAATTTCTTACATGCTGTGGGATGTCTCTGATACAGCTTTGACACCTTTTGTGTCTGCAAACAAGGAAAGTAGGTGCATTATGTTTAAAAAGTTAAACCCAACAGTTTACCACCATTTCCAAATCTAGGTTTATTTTTTGATACCAGGAGCTATCTCAGGTGAATTTTCTATCTGTACTAGCTGTTCTCTGAGAAAGTCAAAGATTAAGAGAATCCGAAATGAAAATAAACCAAAGTAGGTTTGAAAATTACAGTGCAATCTTTGATTCTCCAAAATATACTATGTGAAGAAGAGATTGTAGAGGCTGGTTTTATAAGATCCAGGATAGCCTGACACAAATGTTGTGGGAGATCTTTTGTGCCATCTTACTCTGAAATATAGAATCATAGAATCATAGAAAAGGTTGGAAAAGGTCATCAAGTCCAACTGTCAACCCAACACCACCATGCCCACTAAACCATGTCCCTAAAAAGATCTTTTCTTCCTGTCTGTTCCGTGATTTAACAAGTGCAGGAATAACGTAGGGGTTATATAATCTGATAATTAAGAATTCCTCCTCACGATTGTTGTTGTATTGAATGGCTGGTTGAGTGGAAAAGTCTTAACTATGCATGCTTTTTTATATGTCATGTATTCAGTCTTATATCATTTACAGAGGTAAGGGAACAACTATATTAAAATCTCAGAGCATTTGGGAATTCCAGGACTTTGCCAGAAAGTTTTGTTTATGCTTGCCTTAGATGTAGAGTTGTTCTGAAAGTAGAAAGTACATGTTGGAATTTGTATAGGCAACATTAGCCAAAATTTAGACTTAAGACACCTGGTTTCTTGATAGCCAGAGGGTATCTGGTAATTACTGGTAGTATTTCAGTTAGTAATGAGAGACCTTTCTTTTTTTGAGGATCTGATTTTATTCTAGTGACGTGTTTTAGGCATTAGTACTCTTTCTTCATATTTCATGTAGTATTTTAAGCTTTACACAGAGAACCATTTTGTAATAAGGGATATTTCTGGAACATTTAATGAACTGTTCCTCTTGGAAATTAAACAGTTTCCTCGTTTTCATTTTAATTATGTTTTGAATCTTCAGAAATCAAATGTGGTGTTCCATTAATTTTGAATTTATATTGATCTTTGCATTATTACTTGTGCAAAAATAGTTAAATGGATGTTTACCTTTGTATCCTTTTCTGTTTTTTTTTTTAAGTTATGTTTCATCTGGTGTGTTATCACTTGGTAGGTTGACTAACCTTTCAGGGTCCTCCAGTCTTGATTATGATTATAATTAATCTGCTAAATCTTTAAAGCTTACAACCTTTGTATTCACTGTCTAGTAGTATCCTTGCAATAAGCAAAAGTAAGTTATTTTATTACTCTTCAGAATAACATATACCAAGTAATGGGAGAGGGGACCTTGAAATCAGTATCTGAGGCCTTATTTTGGAGCACTTTTAAAAATAACCTGAGAGGGGGGAATATGATTTGCCTTGAGACATTTCTTTTAGTTAAATTGGAGATCTCAAGTTAAAAGAAGTAGTCAGCATGATAGCAGTTGAAATGTAACATAAAACTTTGTAAGGAAATGTAAATAGCAGGTTAAATAGCAATTTAAAGTTTTTATTTATGCAGTGGCTCATAACTAGTTATACAGAGATGTAGGAAGAGTCCTGGTTCGCTTAATTAAAATTCAGTGCACTCAACTGTTAATTGCACCTTAGATTTATTGAAGAAAACAGAACGAACCTGAACTTATATTATGCATTGTGATGGCACAGCTATGCTACAGCTGTTGTGTTACGTTTTGATCACGTAACTTCTGCGAAAACAAAAATAAATTCCTGAAATTCATAAAAATGTACTTGAAAACTTTTTTTCTTCTCTCCAAATAGTGTAGGTTGTGTAGAATGCTGTCATTTAGCCAGAGAGAGAGAAAACGTGCTCTTCTTTCTATTTTGCCTTTATCAAAAAGGCAGCTCATTTCATACTTTCCTGGTGGGTTCAGCAATAGCTTGTCTATGGAACTGCTAAGAGGCCATCTTTGGAATTAATCCTGTTCCAAAGGTGTATTATTCGTTAGGTTTTTAGCTTGGTTTCCTAATGAAGTTTATACAGGTGTGAGCCTGCCTATCTGTTTGCCTTGTTATAACCCCGTTGGGTTTTTGTGGGTTTTGAACCTGCTGTGGGTTTTCAACTTGTTGTCCAAATTTGGATAAAAAAATTGACATCTTGGAAGTACTAATTTCCTACAATTTTGGGGGAATTGGTACTTGCGTAAAAGAGCGAGCCTTGAAAGAACACGCTTGTGTTGAAGACTGTAGCGCGAGTGTGGAAATTAACTGTTCTTCTAGACCTGCCAGCTGACGAATGAATATCTGCATGTTTGTTAGCCAGTCAACCCTTTATAGCTGAAAATCAGCCACAGCATGTGCTGCTTCTTGCCCAAGCCAGAACTGAACTATATGAGGGAGCTGGAGGTGGTTTAGGACATGAGCAGGAAGGGACTCGGAAGTACTACTGAAGGAAACTATATGGCTAAGGGGATGTGGGGTATTGGCTGCTAATCTGAATGCTGGATAAGATTGATCTTTTTCAGAGGTAGGATGGTCTTACCTGTATGATAACACAGTTCCACACCTGTCTTCTGTATTCTGAAGGCCTTGTACACTTACATTTATACTTTTTTTTTCTTTGCCAGCTCTCAGGTGGAAATTAAATTTAGAAGCAGTAGTTGAAAATGGAATAAAATTGTAATTCATATGATAGGTGATTTCATTTTTGAGTTTTTTTTTTTTTTCTTTATGGGGATAACTGCATTTGCTTTAGTTTATAAACTTAAGTAATTATGCAGTCAATACATTGTAATTACCAGGGATTATGTTTACCAGTTTTTTGCTTAAATGTGGGTTAAATTTCTCCTACATCTGAGACAATAAATGTGTTATTTATCCAGGATAAGATCAGTTCTGACATATAAAGGAAGATGGTCTTATTACAACATGATGTATGATCAAAATTTTGGTGCATTTTGGTTTCTTCATATGTCTTACACTACCTAAGACACTTGTGGTTTTGTAGATGCTATATCACCTTTTTCTGGCAAGTGACTTTTACCTTCCTTCCTCCTCCCTACCCTCCCTAGAGTTGGTTCCTTTCAGTTATAATTTGGTTTTATTTATATAGCACTACTAGATATCTATGGCACATTACGTAAAACTCCTGCATGGCAAAACTCATCTTAAGAAATTCGGTCAGAAAAGTACTGACCACTCCCACTAGATTGTGTTTTTTCAGGAAATTTATGTGTTCCTTACGATTAACAGAGCTACCAAAATATATCAAGGCTGATTTGTCTGTAATGTCTTTGCTTACCATGCTTTATTTCTCACTTACAAAGTGAGAAATAACTCACTTTGTCAGATGGCCAAGGTTATTGGATATGATTTGATTTCCACCAACATAGTCAAGAATTGTTGCAGATTTGTTTTTGGGGGGTTTGGTGTGGGTTTTTTTTTTTTTTAATCACTGCAATACAACTATCATAATGGCAAGCACAGTAAACATTTTGGATACAATTTATAAAGCATGTATAACCATACAAATAATTTTCAATGAAGAAAATGTAATTCAAATAATTTTAAAGAAAAAGACTGATGAAGTTAGAACTGTATACATGTTGTATGGAAATTCATTAAAATATGCTTGAAGAGAGTATATAAATTATATCTGTCTATTGGACAGTATAATCAGAATTGTAAATCGGATATCCCTACAAATTATTTACTGAATATTCCTGTTTTGTATGTGCCCGATCCTGCAAAGATCTCTTTCTTTTTCCAGACACTTGTCTGCTCATAGCAACATACAAGTTTAGCAAAGCGGGTAGAGAAAGTCCTTGAAGAAGCCTTTTATTTGGATTACTGGCAGTGTAAAACTGGATGATCTTAATCTGCTTCAGACATTTATCATACTTACGGAAGCAAACTCCTATTAAGATGTGATGGGGAGTGTCCAGTGATTTATTAATCACTCCATTCGTACCCACTTTGAGCTTACTCGGGTCAATTAGCACAGCTTTGTCAGAAGATAAAATTTTCTTCTGCTAGAATGGTTTTTACATAAACATTTGATTTCAGTTTGTGTGCTTTCTTGTTTACTTGCATGATGGGATACAGTAATTGTGATGGCTAACTGTTGTTTCTGTGTCGGTCTTTCTTCCCAGATTACTGGCAATATTCAGGCTGTCCAAGATGCAGTAACACAAAAGGATCAAAGGCTTTCCAAAGCGATGGTTCACGCTGGCTCATTGCATGTCACCATGTTAGTGATGCATTTATCCAACAAAGAAGAAATTAGCATGTAGGTATTTGGTGCTAAATTAAATGTTTAATATGTACATATGTACATATGTACAAATATTTTTGCTGGAGGAGTTCATAAAAAGACTGGAAGGGGTAACTGATGCTTATTTTTTGTTAGCCCTGAATTACTAGGGTTACTGAACATTTAATTCATGTCGTTCTTAAAATGCTAATCTTAACATTAGCCATTTTCATAACTTATGGTATGTCATGAGCTCTGAACAAAGTATGCTATTTTCCCTTGCATTTTTCATACTGTGTGCTGAACTTGCATGCACAAATCTCATGTTTGCTAAAGTAACTATTTTAAAACAATGTTTTGATATAGGGAACACTGAACAGATTAACAGGGGAATTTTCAGAATTTCATAGCTTAGCAAATGTTATAAGCCAAATTAGTAAATGTCACCAAAAGACTTCAATAAAGTAAACCTTAGCTCCAAGCTAATGCCTCATGCAGTTACAGGGTTTTTTAATGTCCCTAAATGAATTTATTATACTCAAAATTTAAGTACACTAAAAGAGAGGTGGCTATTAGGTCTTATCAAAAGTGTAATTTTTGTGTTGCTTCAGTGATATAGCTGATTTTTTTGGTCATATAAAAGGTGGAAAAGTTGTGGAAAGGCGTATGTATTATACAATGACGTCGTGTCTAAGTGTTAGATGCAACTACTTGCTTTATAAAAATGCAGTTCTTTGGTGTTTTTTACTGTTTATCACATGTACTGCTATCTGACAAGCCTACTTTAACATACAAGTTCAGTGGTTAATACAAAGATGTTCAGACTTTTAAGTCTATTTATACAGCTGTAATTTATGAATGTTCAGAATAACAATTTGTGTGTCTAGCTGTGATTTTGACTTGAAATGGAAGCATACATTGTATTTTATAATCCTGCTTTACACAGACATTCTCAACAGTTTCTATTTAGGTGCGGTGCCCGATGGCCTGCATATGCTGTGTCTCTATATTTGCACATTGTAAGTGCAGAATTGAGATTGCAAACACTTTGGTAACTGTAACAGAGTATTATGTAATATGCTGATAAATGGCCTACTGGCATTATATGAACATCTGGGAATCCTCCACTGCTTATGTGTCAATTTTGTAGTGAATTGCTAATGAATCAAAATTCATCAGATCCTTATAATTCTGTGAAAGAGAAGACTCACGGTTTCATCTCCCCCAGATGAGTTCTTTCAGGGGCCCTCTCATCTCTCTCTCTCCCTTACTGGTTTTCTCTGCAGTATTAGCAGGCATGCGACCCAGGTACTGAATTATCTAGATCGAATAATGAATAAGTGCAGTGAGACATTGCTTTGGTTATGGTAATACAGTTACAAAATAATGTGTCTAATAAGTGTGTGTTGAATAATTTTTCCCCCCGAAGGTTTGGCTGTTAAAGTGCAGATTGCTCATGAGAAAGCGAGAATAATCCAAGATAGAATGTAGGAACCATTTGGTAGTCAAGGGCATGTTTCTAATAAGTAGAAGTATTTTGGCTAAAAACATTTAACACACCTAAAAATAATGAGATATCAGTATATCTAAATCAATTGCCCTGCTGGTATTTCACACTTGTTTCCTTGAATGCTATATCCTTGAGGCCTCTACACTCTTACCTCTCCTGTGAGGTTGCGAGTCTGTCAGCATCCTTGTCTCCAACAGTCTGATCTAAAGGGAAAGGAACAGGTAGCCAGGAACAGAGAACAGAAAGGAAAGCAAAGGATACTAGATCTGCTGGACTTCCTCTCCTTTCCATGTGCCTTTTGTCTCCTGGAGTAGGCACACCAGCTTCCTCCTGCCCTGGTTGATGAGCAAACTGTGGTAGCACCTGAAAATCAGTGAGAACAACCACTGACTGCGTGTGCAAGATTTTTTTGAAAAGGTTTGAAGTGTGAACTTTTTAAAAAGGGAATGTGAGAGGATATCTCAAAGGCAAGTATGCCTCCTCATGAATATTTTTTAGAGTCCTAAACTGTATATCAAAACAAAGTATCTTCTGCTACTCTTTGAGCTGCTTCTCAGCTCTCACTGTCCAACTGCCACCCAAGCACGCACTTACGGAGTTCTTCTCTGCCTCTCCCAGCAGAACTCCACAGTCCAGGCACCCAGGAGCTGTCCTCTAGTCAGCAGCAGCTTCCCCAGTGATTCACCCCTTCCCTGGCCAGATGCCTCCTACAGGTATCTAGCTCAGCTATCCTCAGGTATTCTAGATTGCATTTTTTATTATATGGGATTCTTTTTTTTTTTTTTCCATAACTGATGTTTCCTGTTTAATCTTTTGGGAGAACTTGAAGAGTAAAAAGTTGAATTTTCCTTTCTTTGGTTCACCAATTTTTGATACCAGGTTAATGGAAAGAAGCCAAGATCCCGGCTGGCAAAAGAACCTGTGTGTAATGTAGGGTGAGAGTAATCCCTCAAACAAAGTGCAGCTAGTCAGCTGGGCATCTGAGAGTTCATAGATCCTTAGGTTTGGATCCATTAAGTTACTTAGATATCTACAGTTTTTCGACTGTGTTTGCACAGTAGTGCCTCTGTCTATACAGAAATGAAATGTGTTGAACGCCATTTGAAGTCAAAACGCGTGATAAGAATGTGCTAAACATAACATTCAATTCAGCACAAAGCCCTTTGTATGGTATTTTAGTACATACAGCTTTCACCCTGAAAATGGAAGATCTGTATTCTAGGCTGCTCTTTCTAAGGGAATCCAGACCTGCAGTTCCCATGTGAGTTTCCTAACTGGTTGGCCGTGATCTAGCCTTCATGAATGCACTTTACATCTCTTTTTGTAGGACTATATGAAATCACGAATGTGAGATTTTAAAAACCATAAAGAAAGCAAGCAAGCAAGAGTCATGACAGCACTCCCTTCAAGCAAAGGAGTTCTAGTCCATGCTAACTGTCTGCATAGTCATGGGCTCAGGTACTAGAAATCAGGATGCCTGCCTTTGCAGTAAATGCCTTCATTACCAGACTATAGTGTCAAGTTCTTCTTGCTTGTTATTTGTCAAAGACCCTGTGAATCTAACCTTTTCATTATAAATACGAGAGCTGAAAGGATTCAGTCTGCCTTTTTTTTGCAAGGTTGCTTTTTCTAACAAGTAATGAAAATTAACAATTCAGAAATTTCTAAAAAGAAACTACATCAACTTTAAGTGCTATAATATTTACATTACAGCAATATAGAAAAAAAAATGGGCACTGCTTCTATAATCCTAGTTTGTATTGACTTAGAATATGCTGCTTAATTCTTTTTTTTTATTTCCTTTCTCCACTTTGGAGCAAAATGCTTGTAAAGTTTTTTGTTATCCCCGTGGGTTAGTTGCACTGAGTGTAACTACTATTTGGCATTGTAAATAGTATTTGGTATGGAATAACAAGAAAATAACCACTGTTGTGTTTGTTGCTGTTGACTTCAGTGGAAATGTTTGTCCTTGTGCATTATTCTTACAAAGCAATTGTTAGATGTTATAAAGTGATCGATAGAATACGAAAATACAAAATATGCTAGAGCGAGATGACAACTATTTTTCTAAATACTTTAGTGTTTACAAGATTATATATGAAAGAAAAAGTAGAACTAAATCTTCAGTGACACAGTGCTAAACTGAAAACACACTGTGCTGTTTGAATTGACCTTTCATAGACCTCATCAGGTAGAGTTGAGCTGGTCAGTGAGTTCTGTAGCACACCCTACAGTATGGAAATATAAATCTTTGTTCAGCTGGGGAACAGAGCTTTCCGTGACTGTCTGTGTACCAGTTCTCAGATGCAAAAAATCTGGAGATGGGTTTTAGGTATGTGTATGATTCACTACGTGAAAGCCCGCTGCAATCTTTGACACAGTGTATTTGAAATATCTGTACCTGTTTTTGAACAATTTTCAGGTTCACGTTGGTAAATAAATCTACACATGATTACCTGTGAAGTAACCTGACAGGTATAATTGGTATTCTGATGGTGTTTTTGAAAGGTCTTGAAGTACAGCACATATGGAAGACATAGGAACAGGCTTGTCTAATGGTGCTTAACGGGTAGGTAAGTGGCAGAGACTACACTCAAAGAAAAATATCTTTGCCAAGGAACAAGTAATGGCATTGTTGTTTAAAGTGGTTATATAGGAGCTAAAGTACTTCTAGGTTGTAGATTAAAGCCCTATAAAAAACCCACAGGAGGACTATATCAATCAAGGATATTTTGTCATGTAATCAACCTTAACGTCTTTCTTAACCTGGCCTACATTTTAATTAAATGCATAGTTCTCATAAGAGTCCATCTTGTTAAACACAGTGGAAACGTGTGTGGAGTTGTTTGCAATTGTACAGGCTTAAAGAATGTAATTTAGCCTACTTTAGAAATCACGGTGGTGGCTTTCATCCAACTAGGACATAAAAAGTAAAATAAACTCTCTTGAGAGTTTTTAACCTGTCACTGCCATCTAGCGTTTATAAAGTCAATGTCGGTTTAGTGAAAAGTTTAAATTCAGTTTCGTTGAATAGAATTAAAAACTGTGAGCATGTGAGAGATCTTTCAGAAGACACTAAGAATGTTTATATAGTTTTTGTTTAGCATGTGAATCACTTCAAGTGCAGGTCAAAATAAATATTTCATGTAATTGTACGTGGACTTAATATGGCTAATTAAAATTATTGTTAATAGGTTACCAGGTTTGTTCCTGTTACATGTAGATTATGTGTGCATGCTACTTATCTCTTAAAGAAAGTAAGCATCAATTTAGATAGTACTTCTTTTAATAACAGTTCTCAATGAGCTTAACAGTAATTTCCATATAATTTTATCATTTTATATATATATATAAAATGTCACTAACCTCTGTTTATAATATTAAGTAACACTCTGTAGTAACTTTGAATGAAGCAGAATCTTATCAGTGTTCAGTTGAGCTATCAGGAGATGAAAAAAGTGAATTCATTTAAGAATGGAAAACCAAATGCTTCCGAGTAAGCATCTTATTTAAATGGGATGCACAGAGTAATAGAGACACTATCATCTTAATATCTAGTCACCTTGAAGACTGAGAGAAACTCTTTTGAGGAATTACACCTGCTGCTAGGTCTGCCTTATTAATTTCTGTGGTTTTACAGCAGGGTGTATGAACCAGTTTACTTTTACAAAATGGTAATAATAATACTGACTGCGTAGATAGGAAGTAGTGCAAAAGTACCTGAGTAGATAATAAATTGATACTAATAAAGCTTTGTGAGATTTTTGGATAGAATGATTAATAGCAGTGTAAACAGTATTAATATATTTGACTTTCACATAGATATTTTCATTCCTCTTGACAGAGCAGTTGGTGCTCTTTCAGACAGCAAGGATTTTGTAGAAGATCTCCTGAAAGGAAAAACTGTGGATTTGTCTTTTCAAGGAATTGATCACTTCAAAAATGAAGTCGGATTTGTGAAGTTGGCAGAAAATGATCATACAGCTATACTTACGAAAATAGCAGGTACAACTTGTCAATCTAGTTTAAGTGCTTTAAAGACTTTTTGACAACCTAGATGAGAGTGGAGCACAAAGGTAAGTTGGTGCTAATTTAGTCAACATTAATTTACCTTTAACAACTGCAAAGGCTACATGACGAATTTCTCAGCATAGTTCGAAAGGATATTAATGAATTACAGATAGTACTGTTCTCTGATACCTTTTTATTTAGTGTACGTAAAAAATGTAGTGCAGGTTTGTAGATGGATATAAAGACTCCATTCAACTTTGTTTTGGTCTGAATACTGTCTGCTGTTTTTCAGCTGATATTTATACCCCTATCAATTTGTGTATTCATACTTACTGACTTTAAGAGCTGTATCTTTGATACATCTTACCTGACTTGCAGAATTACATAGTTCTCTCCTTTGTGTTCATGCTGAGTAGAGCACTGAGAGACAGTGACATTCTTTCCTCTTCTGTGGTCTGGGGAGTCTTTTAAGTTTTGTATTTCTTATATATATACACATATCACTCTTAAATCTCAGTGAATTAACTGTAACTTACCATATATACATGTATAAATGCATATATACATATATGTGTGTGTGTATATGTATGTGTATATATGTACTTTATACATACACTTCCATTTATGTATGAAGTAAAATCTGGACTTTCTCTACACTCCTGGAGGATAATGGTAATTCAGGAGAAGGACATGACTCATCTGCCAGAGGAATGGAGTTGGATTTCATGCTGCTTTAGCCTGAAATTTTTTTTGGAGCAGTTGTGGAACCAGTCTGTGGCTTGTTCAATGTTAATTGCCTTCCTTTAGCAATTAGGAAGTTACTGAAAGATGTGACAGGTACATGCTACTATGCATGTGCACCCACATGTTCACTTCAAGAGCGAAACTCTCAGTTCTGTCTTAACAGTGGAGCTAGGCCACTGCCTTTACCAGTCAGATAAAATGCATCCAAAGATACAGTTCAAGTCAGTAGGAATATATAAATTAAAAGGAGTGGAAATACTAGCTGAGAAACAGCAGTCACTACCTAGACCAAAACAAGGTAGAGTGGAGTTTTTTATCTGTCTGTGAGTCTATACTTAAACTATGTTGTTTACAGATACTAAATAAAAATTCTCAGAGAACAGTACTGTCTGTAATTCATTGGTGTCCTTTAAAACTATCCCGGCAATTCCAACTATTCCTTGGAAAGACTCTTTTAAAGAGTTTTTCAGTATTGATGAATTATCTTTTGTGCTCTGAGGAATGTGAGGTCACATCATTTTTTAGTAGTGCAATAGCCCATATAGGACATTTTGCAGAGTAGCAAAGACTGCTGCTGTCACGCTACCTCTTTGCAGTCCAATACAGAGAAAAAATGGAAAAAGTCTGTATTAATACAGTGCTTTCTCTAGCAATTCATTAGTTTAATTTCTGAAGTGCCTTTAGAAAATATTTAGTATTTTTTAACTTACATTTTAAAGAAAGGTTGAATAGAAGACTGTGAGCTTTTCAGCTTACCAGATTGCTTATGCTGTTATTGGTCAGTGCTTTATTATTTTAAGCAGTGCTTGATAGAGAAGTATTTCTGATATTCAGTATGGGAGAAATTGAACAGTACGTACAGTTCTAGAGAGGCTTCGGTTGTCAAATAATCCCATAACTATTTCAAAGTTTGAATCTACCAAGTATTTCTTCAGTCCTTTGGATGATATGCTTCCTCATCCTTGTCTTGAGTTTGTCTTTAGATTTCTTTTAAAGGTGACAGAATATTTTATGTATGCTGTTTTAGAAACAGCGAGATAATTTATAAACCAAGTTCCCTTCCAATACCTCTTGTGAAAGGAGATGAATGGTTTCTGTTAGTAACAGTAACTTTTGATTTTGAGAAGTTTATAGTTAATTATTACGAACTCCAAAATAATTGAAGTTGCTAGACATGGAAAGCCAAATACCTTTTAACTACAGGAAATAAATTTGTTATGAGTGATTTTCTACACTATTGGGTTTGCGTGGCAAGGTTTTGGTAGTGGGGGGGCTACATGGGTGACTTCTGTGAGAAGCTGCTAGAAGCTTCCCCCATGTCCGATAGAGCCAATGCCAGCCAGCTCCAAAGACAGACCTGCCGCTGGCCAAGGCCGAGCCAATCAGCAACGGTGGTAGCTCCTCTGTGATAACATATTTAAGAAGGGGAAAAAAACTGCTGGGCAAAAACAGCAGCCAGAGAGAGGAGTGAGAATATGTGAAAGAAACAATTCTGCAGACACCAAGGTCAGTGAAGGAGGAGGGGAAGGAGGTGGTCCAGGTGCTGGAGCAGAGATTCCCCTGCAGCCCGTGGTGAAGACCATGGTGAGGCAGGCTGTCCCCTTGCAGCTCATGGAGGTTAACAGTGGAGCAGATATCTTACCTGCAGCCCGGAGAGGACCCCACGCCGGAGCAGGTGGATGTGCCCGAAGGAGGCTGTGACCCCGTGGGAAGCCTGGGCTGGAGCAGGCTCCTGGGGGGCCCCGTGGACCTATGGAGGAGGGGAGAGAGGAGCCCATGCTGGAGCAGGTTTGGTGGCAGGACTTGTGACCCTGTGGGGGACCCATGCTGGAGCAGTTCATGAAGAACTGCAGCCTCTGGAAAGGACTCACATTGGAGAAGTTCATGGAGGGCTGTCTCCCGTGGGAGGGAACCCACACTGGAGCAGGGGAAGAGTGTGAGGAGTCCTCCCCCTGAGGAGGAAGGAGCGTCAGAGACAACGTGTGATGAACTGACTGCAACCCCCATTCTCTGTTCGCCTGCACTACCTGGGGGGAGGAGGTAGAGAAAATTGGGAGTGAAGTTGAGTCCAGGAAGAAGGGAGGGGTGGGGGGAAGGTGTTTTAAGATTTAGGTTTTATTTCTCATTACCCTACTCTGATTTGATTGGTAATAAATTAATTTTCCCCAAGTCTGTTTTGCCCATGATGGTAATTGGTGAGTGGTCTCCCTGTCCTTATCTTGACCCACAAGCCTTTCATTATATTTTCTCTCCCTGTCCAGCTGAGGAGGGGGAGTGATAGAGCGGCTTGGTGGGGACCTGGCATCCAACCAGGGTCAATCCACCACAACATCTTAGACTAGTGAACCAGATTTTGATCAGAATTGGACAAGTAAAGATGAGATCAGCTTTCGACCTTTGTTTTTCAGTTTGACAGTCCTTCCTAGTAGATAAACTCAGTACAGTCAAATTTAGCAAACAAGCAAACCTATGTTTTCTTTGTAAAGCATAACTACTGATGCTCAGGGTGAGCATTCTTTGCTTATATTAGAATTACAGCTGTATATTATTATTTTCACTTAATACTGCTGTTTAGTAAAAATGTTTCTTATTTCAGTGCTTACTTTTGCCAACCAAATGGATCATTTCTTGGCCTTAGGCCTGTTGTTCAGTCTCTAGACTTACACAGTGATGTTTGTTTTGTCTGGACTTAGTTCTGAAACAGGGCAGAGAGCTGAACGTTACCAGAAGAAAATGGTAAAATGACTGAAAATGTTTAATGGGTATGACTTCAGGATATGCTATCTTAACATTTCTTAGTGAGTGTCATAACCGTAACTTCTGAATTGCTGCTGATTTCAGAGTATCTTTTTGTGCTTGTGTTCATGGAAGTGCTAAATTATTTCGTAATGGGTAACTTATAACTCATGAAAGCAAATTCAGTTTTTGTATTGATGCTTGTGCCAGAAAAAAATTTTTTAGGTCTGTAATTATGTAACACTGAAGATTATACAAGTGTGTTTCAAAAGTTAGCTTAGTTACATATTAAATTAGTGGAAAGGCCAAGTATGAGTAGGAAGAAAATGAATACACTAAATAGTTTCTACGTATGTCTTCATTAGATTAAATTGCAAAGAATTCAATATAAGTAACCTGATAAAAATAACCCAACAACACCATGCCCAATGTTCTTCAGGGCCCGGGACCTCCCCGTTAACCAGGACTGCTGATGGAAAGGCCAAGTATGAGTAGGAAGAAAATGAATACACTAAATAGTTTCTACGTATGTCTTCATTAGATTAAATTGCAAAGAATTCAATATAAGTAACCTGATAAAAATAGAAAATTTGTTATTACACAGATGTTCTTCAGGGCAGTGCAATTTGGAATGTGAAATAATATTAAACAAAAGAATCTATGTGAACTCTTCAGAACTGACAAGGTAAACAAGAGAGTCACTAGGATTCTCCCCCCTCCCCTAAGTGTATCACATGTATAATACCTTTAATGTAAGAGTACACTTACAGAGTTAATTGCAACACAGTTTAGTTTGCATGCAGTTTTTACAAAACATTAGCAGACAGTCCTCTAAGGGCCAAACCTCCTACTGAAGGTGTTGCATTTTGGGGAAAAGACCATGTAGTACTTTCTGGGCTGTACTTGACACAATGAATATACCTTCTAATGTAAAGAATCATATTAGCAGAAATGTGCTGTTGAGTTTATTTTCTGTAATACATTTCATATATTAATTCAAAACAGGGTGTCTGTCAAAATTATACCTAATATTCCTGCTCTGTGGATAGTATCCTGAATACACAATTTTAGAGAGACTGCTGGAAGAGAAAATACTGGAAACTTTTCTGCTGGGCTGCTGTTGTCAGGATCTGTGTGAAGATTGCTATCAGCTCTTCATATATACTGCTGTGAGGTTATATATGTTTGACAGAAATTAATTTTCACAAGTTTATTTTGGCTTCTAATACAGCTTGCCTGTGATATAACTTGTGTCCTTAGAAAACTGCAATTTTAAAACTGAAGCTGGCAGAAAGAAAAAAAATATACATTATTGCCTGCAGGATGTTAATCATTCTGTTGATGTCCATGGAACAGTAAAGAGAGATCACTTCTGTGTGTGTTTTAATTTATGGCGAGACCTAAGTTTAGTTTATTACAGAATTACTGTTTTGCTATTTCAAGATTATGTTTGGTTTCTGCTATGCTCTAAGGTGAATTTTGACTTCATGTGTTCTTTTGTGTTCTACATGGAT